TGATTCTTCTTTAGGGAGAGGGGGAAGAATTTATCTTTATAGTCAAGGAGAATGATTTTTAAGCTGCCGAACAGGTACTTTCTAAGATGGAGATCCTTGTGGTCCCTGTGACAATTAGCAGTGGCTTATGATTCAGAAAACATCTTCTGGTATCTCACTCGTAACAGCAGCACTGAAGCTGTGTTACTAAATGTGTCATTAGGATTCCTGAATGGACTTCTGGGTCACTGGTTTAAGGCATTATGAGGCTGCATTACGGAAGAAATTGCAATGCTGTACTTAACTCCCAGCTTTGCGTCTCACCTGGCTGCTTATCCCAGTGGCAATATCTCCCACCTTTGTCCTGTGGAAATCCCTGATGTGTAAATTTTCTCCACTTAGCAACTGGATCTGGATTTTCACTCCTGAAAGGCGCAAGAGAAGCATTAACTTCTGCTCTAGGCATAATGACTTCACAGTCCATCACAGAAAAATTGACTAGCAAGGCACATACATCAGAAGAACTCGTTTTTGTCATTAAGCATTTAATTTATATAGGTCTTTTGCTGAGCATGGAGGCTGGCTGAAGACTACAATGACTCACAGAGCAGAGCTGGATTTAGCAAGAAAGCTGAAGAGATGTCTTGATTTGCACAGCGTGCCCTCAGAATTACTTTGCAGACATTTATGGTTATAAAGCTTATATTCTTGCACGTGGCAGTTGCACGAGGCAAGGCCTACAAAGCTGAACCAGACTCTGAGTTGAGGAACTTCTCTGGCTTTTACCAGACTGGACAGACTGAGTGACTTCCACCCATCTATGACTGGGGCAGATTTGGCCTCTTGACAATCCACGTGCTTTTAGGAGGGTCAGTGCTGACAGAGCAACTGAAGGATAAGATCCCTCTAGATACTGAGAAAGTGACACCTGACCATTTATCCAAACTTCAGAAATTCACACTCACCGTTGAAATAGCTGGGAGTGTCTGTGTGCCGACTGCGATTCAACAGGTTGTTCCAACTGAAGCTTTGTCCATCTGTCTGGCTGTTCCAGGAATGAATCCCAGAGCTCATAGTGTCCCTCAAGCTATGAGAAGCCTTCATGGAGTTCTGCAGAAGTAAGCACGAGTTTGTCAAAGGCTCCTAAAGAAAATGAGCTTGCAGGAGATAAACATTAAAATAACCTCAGGAAGAAAAAAGTAGAAATCCACAGGGATCTAGGCTGGGCCTTGAGTTATTCAACATTCACCTGCCATCTAGGAAAGGGGACAAATAACGATGCAACAATTTGCAGACCCAGTGAAGTTATTCTCAGTAGACAAATCAACAACCAGCTGAAGAGCTAGATGAGAAAAAAAGGGGTTTATCGTACTTAGCGACAGGAGAATAAAGCATCAGATAAAATTCTAATGTCAATAAGTGACAAGTGACACCCAGGAAAAACAGTTACATAACTGTACATAAACAACTACGGACCCCTACACTGCTGCACTACTTGGAAAAGTCTGTACTATCTTAGAGTCATGGAAGGTCAATCTGACAACATCAGCATAGTGGTAACTGCCAGTCAAAAGTCAAATTAGATATTACGGTTAGATATTAGAGGGGAAAAAAAAAGCAGTCACATCCCACGCTTCACACCATGCTGTGTCAACAGCTGAACTACCGTACAGAACTCTGCTCAATCCTCCTCAAAAAGCATTAGAAGACTGAGAAGAGGAACAGAAATAGGAGACAAAGATGATCACAGTCAGAAATTACTCCTGTAGATGGCAGGCTACACAATTTTGTACTCTTTGAAAACAATGATTGAAGGGCTTATGTCCTTCCCTGGTTCAACAAGGCTTATTCAGTCTTTCTCACTGGTATTCCCTACCTTATGAACACCAGAGAGAGCAAACAAAATTAACTAAACTTAATATTAAAGTAATTTAGACTATGTAAGTCATTAGTATGAATGAGCTAAAAGTTGTTCATGGAGGACAGATCGATAGGCTGGGAATGAATATCCAAGAGCAGGGCTTTTTTGCCAAGAGGAAGACCCTGGGCTGTGCAGCCATTTGGGCCAATTTGGTACAGCTCCTACACTCATCACTGCTTCTTCGGTTCTCTTCTTCTGCACAGAGAGGGTCAAGGCTGCTGAGATATCCACGCACTTGATGCTTACTGGGAGTATACAGCACAGGAGAGCAACTGGAGGAAAGGGATCCATGCTGGACAGTAAACTAAAGAACAACTACAATCCTAAATATCCCCACTGTCCAAGAACAAAGATTTCTTCCCAAGGTACTCCCCAGCAAACTGAGTGTCAAAAAGCAGCAATAACCGTGAGAAACTCCATTGGTCACAGCTCCCAGTTTCCCAGGGGTGGTTACCTTGCCACCCCCATGCCCAGTATCCATTTATACTCACCTTCTCGCTGGCGTCTGACACAAATGGGCTGTCGATGCTGAGACACGAAAGCATTTGTTCTTGCTCTTCCAGCGAGTAAGGCTGTGAAAGGCTGTTCAAAAACAGTTCTGCAAGCAAAAGTAAAGAGAAGGAAGACATTTCCAGTGCTTCCTTTCATACCTCCCTGCTCTAATCAGTTACTGCAATTAATACCCAAAGCTTCTTCAGCATTATCTAATGAGCACTGATATTAGTGTCCACAAAACATGACACACAATTCCTCTGCTAAGTAGAGACTACGGCCACTGTTGCGAAAATAGGGAAACTGAGCCAGAAAGGACAGATGAATTGTGCAACAAAATGCAAAATGCCAGAGACAGGATCAGCACCCCAAATTTCCCAGTTCTCGCCTATTATGCCACCAGTCTTCACTCTAGATCTGTCCACATATATCCAGGGAAAGGTTAAACTTATGAACTCAACTCTTGCAGTAACTTGTGTTGATAATATCCAGACCTGACAAGGCTGTTGAAGATCCAAAGCCATCTGAGAAGAAAGCCGGCCCTCAACAACCCCTAAAACGCCATTCCCTCAGTTCTGTGATGTTACATTTTAAGACACTTTTTTTCCAGCTTCAAGTTTTCAATTAATTTAAAAAGATTAGAAAATATGGGATTAAAAAAAAAAAAGGTTGAGTTATACTGGGGCAATGGAACTGGACTATTACTGCACTGATTTTCACACTGAACTTACTGCTGGTTTTCAAATTCCGGATTGCTGCTGGTTAGCAAATTTGCTGGCTGGCAGCTATAGGTTTTCCAACACCCAGAACAGAACAGTTGCAGACTGATTTTAACTATACTGCTTCATTTAACATCTTGCATCCAACAGGCTTGTCCCTTTATTAAAAGAACTATGTTTGAAACCCTACATTTTCAGATGAAGTTGGAATTGCAGACACTGTTTATACGATGCACATAAGCAAAAGTCTGAAACTGGCTGTTTTCTGAGAGGTTCCTGCACCTCTCACAAGAGTTCGCTCCGCTGTTCAGAGAGTGGAAGGAAATCCTGACCGCTACCTTCGCAGCATATTTAATTGGTTAAGAACTACTAGTTTGGGTAATTTCAAGGAATGCTGAGCAATTTGTGTAACGAGAGAGGAACTATGAACTAAACGACATCCAAGCTCAAAACCCAGAAATAACTGTCAAGAGGCCAAAAGAAAGCAGCTGTATTTTTGTCACGCTCTCAAGCAAAAAACCAAATTCCCTAAATAGCACATCGCTTACCTATTTCCAGCTGCTGAAGCTCCTGCTCTGAAATGGTTGCTGCTCTCTCCACATGGCTGCAGCTCTTCAAGGGCAGAGGAGTCGAGGAAAGAGGTGGAGGATCCCAGGTTTCCGATAACTCCTTGCACACGTTCCAAGGGGTTCCTTCGACCTCCTCTGTTTGCTCCAGAGATGGTGGCGGTAGGACTGGGCTCACACAAGAAACTTTGACTGCCAATTTTGGGTCAGAACCAGCCTCAGAAACTGGGCTCACTGTGGGAGACATGGACATCTGTGGATTGTTTTCCTTGTTCAAAGACAAATGTCTAGGCTCTCTGTACTCGCCTTTCCAGGGGCTTGTCACACCTCCCACTATAAAAACAAAAAACCATATAAATATTATCAAAAAACGAAAAAAAAAAAAAAATAAAAGACGTAAAAGGTTTTCTTCACAATAAGACTTTCTGAACTGTATCTTACTGTAAAATGCCCAGCTTCTTCAAAAGACAAAACCAGATCACCTCTACAAACGCTCGCTGTGTTACAGAACCTTTCAGCGGGATTAAGTTGAAATAAATTATGGGTAGTCATAGAGGCAAGATGGGACCACAAGTATGAGTTAAAGTTCAGGATGCAGTAAGACTCTGCTTTCAGTTTTGCTGCATACCAGGCTCTAGCTCCCTAGGTGCAGTTGGTGCGTCAGCTGAATATGGGCCCAGCTACAGCACACACCTTAATAAACCCACATAAAGCACAACGCCGTCTACTTTGAGTGAAGAAGGAAGAAAGAGCATGTGACAGCACACAGGAAATTTTAATTTATTTGGGTAAGAAACACCCGGCTGCAGACAAAAGCTATCAACCCAAAAATATGCATCAATGCTAAAGCTTGTGCAGATGATATACTGAACAGTAAAACATAACGATATTTCCCGTAGGACCCCTCTGACATAACTAGCAACTGGCCACTTCACCAGTGCAGATAAGAAGCTTTCGATACAGGACATTTCTACCTTCTTCAAGTGCGACACTGGTCTTAGTTTTCAGTTCAGAAGCAGACGCTCTCTGAACAGGCTCTTTCTCCAGACCCATTTTAATAATCTCAGCAGTGAGAGGGTTGCAGGAAGGTGGAATTTCCCTCAGAGGAGGTGGCTCTTTAGCGATCTGTGTAACAAACAGGAAGTGAAAGAGGTTAGACCAGAGAGGCTTCATTTGATTTCAGAAAGGTTCTTCCCACCCCCGCGAGCGCTTCCAACTGAAATTACAGCATGAAATGAGAGACCTGAGCAGGAATTTTATTGCAGCTGAATGGCTAAAAAGTCACACCCAAGTCATGAGCGGGATACGAAAGAAACAGCCCTGGCATGTGTAATACACAGCAGTCTAAGAGGCGTAAAGAACGATCAGCTTCTGAAGCAAGGTTGGCATCATTGTAAATGTCCAGCTGGCTCTCAGCCAGCCTTCCTGAAACAACTGCTAGGTATAAATGAGATTTTGCAGGCTTCCATACCTTTTACTGGAGATATGTTGGCTCACTTACCTTTAAACAGAGTGGGTGATTGTAATACTGGGTCCAAGGGTGGCACCCGTTAAGCATGTGCAGCATCATACAGCAACTGCTCCAGACATCTACTTTGGAGTCACAACGCTTTCCCATGACCACCTCCGGAGCCATATGAGTCTCCGTGCCAGGCACATAGTTCCCTAAAACCATTCAAATGAAAACTCACTGCATGTAAACTAGACAATTGTTTCAATGCAACTGCTGGGAAGCTTCCTTATCGTTTCAGTTTAAGTGAGAAACAAGTCACCTTAACCTAAAAAGCAGCATTGTGTGCTCTTATAAACTGTTCAAAGGCTACATCTCCATATCAGTCTCATCCCTTATATGCAGAATAGCTATTAAGCTCCCCTTCCCAGAAAATTTGGGAGGCAAAACATGATGCTCCATTGGTGAGCTTGGCATTAGAAAACATATCCTTCTCTTTCAACAGCTGCATTAAGCAGCACTGTAAAGTTTAACTGCCCAAAACTCAGTGAGGAATTTTGTGTTGGTGGAGGTCAGGATCCTTCCCCAGCTGTTTAAGTGAGGTTACATGACAATTCAGAGTTAGATTTTTAAGTTTCAATATGGTTTCTTGCAGGTACAAAACACTGAATGTAGTACGCTGACATAATCTCACAAAAAATACGCCAGGGAGATAAGGACCACCTTCCAACCTTAAGTTCATTTTAGCTGTCAGTGGGATACATCACAGTAATATCAATAAATGCAACACTATCAGCAACGTTAAGGCTGGAAAATACAGTTGCTTGCAAATTAGCCATATGTAAATGTTCAAAAAGAAAGAATGAGTCAGTAGGGCAATTCTTTAGAATCGCAGCAGAAAATCTTTACCTGTGACCAAGCACTTTCCCAGGCCATCTGGATGAAGGTGAGCAGAGTGACCAAAGTCACACAAAAGAGCCCTGCTTCCATCGTCAGACAAGAGCACATTTTCCGCTGTCAATGAGAAGTTTTTAATTAGTCAGTCTCCTTTGTATTACGGTCACTGAGATGGGAAAAAAAGTCAAAAATCACATTTTTTTGAGCCCAAACCAAGGTTTATTACTCCTATGGAGTGTCGCTGGCTTAAGCAAGTAAGCAACTATAATTATTTCTGCTTATAAGCTACCAATTATCTGCCCTGGAGATTCCTCTACCCCAGTGGTGGGGCAGCCTGGGCAAACAGCCTGTCAGACCCACTGGATGACAGAAAAAACAGTGACAAATATGAAATGTGAAAAATATTATATGCCAAGCTGTTTAGAACAAAGTTAAGCTCTAATCTCAAACGCAGAGCTGAAAACCTAGTAAATAACCTTTTGCCACTCAGTAACTTCATCTCCAAGCAGTTTGCCTCTTGTAAGAAAAGGGGAAGAACAAGGTACCTTAAGTACCATCCTACCTTTCACATCTCCATGGAGAATGTTTTGAGCGTGAAGATACTCCAAGCCCTCTAATGCCTGGCCCAGATAACTGAGGGCTCTGTCCTCTGGCAGGCAGCCACTCTGTTTAATTAGCTGACCTAGTGAGCCACCTAGAAAGGAATCCAGAGAGTCCATGTTAGCTTATCTTTAAATTCTTCCCAGCATCATCAGTGTTCCTTGTTGTTTCTGATGAAGAAATGAGAACTGTCAGGTCTGACAGCCCTTATCTTCCACACATGGGTCTGTTCCTTTTGTTTATTCCCAGAGTTCCCACTGCCCACAGAAACTGGCCTCTTTCATGAAGCCTTTTGCTTAGTGTCAGTTTAATGGTATTGCTTTGTATCAAAAGCAACTACTCTGTGATCAGATCAGACGTTTCTAGGTGCTACCGATCGCCAGCCGATTCTCCACAGGCTGTGTTTTCCATGGTCTTGGCTAGAAAAAGAGCATCAGGCAACGGAAGCATCTCGGTTTACTTATACAGTATCCCCTGTTCCAGTATGATGTGCTTTACATGGTGCCATGCAAATAAACATGAAAGCAAACACCAGCATCAGCTGTGTGTTTTAGTGAGAATTTCTGTTCAAGAGAGACACATCCTGAACTCGAGTGAGGCAGGACTGGAAATTACTCCCCCCCCCGAAAGACCAGCAGAGGTTACACATACCTATCCCAACCCACTCAGGAATTAATGCTAGGAACACTCTGGATACATCAAAGAATAAACAGATTTAAAATTGGGGCAGGAGGAAGAGGAGATCAATGTCCACTGAATTCAACAGTTACAATGGTGCTTCCATTGTGGTTGTTCCTTTCTCACCCTCCATCAGCTTCATGAAGATGGTCACCCAAGGTCCTTCCTTCACAGCTCCGTACAAGGGGACAACTTTAGGACTTGTTATTGCAGCACATGTCGTTAACTCCTCTGCACGGAAGTGTTCAACTTGTACCTAGAGAAACAAAGAAGCACTGAACAAATTTTTGACGAATCCTGACAGAATTGTCCCTCTCTGATGCTTGGGTCAGAGTATCCTGCAGTGTTTAACAGCAGAGGCACAAGGATGACCTCCGTTAACAGAAATCAGTGGGTACAGCAATAAGTGGGAACACTCAGAATGGCTCTGAACAAGGATGATGAGAGTTCCTAAATCCTCAATGTCTGAGTAAAGCAACAATTTGTCAAAAAAGATGCCAGGTTACAATACCTCCGGCTTATAGCTGAGCACTGGTAATCTTCAGGTGGAATGTAATTTCTGTCTCAGTTAAAAATACTGAGAACTTAAGCATTCTGCTTTCATGAAAGAGGAAAAAAAAAAAAAATCAAGGATGGTGCAGTACTTGGCAAAAATAAAACTCCCCCAAACCAGGAGGGAATACAAAATACGGCCACAAGCAGTGATCTACACTGTCACCTTTTTAGGTGCCCACACTGCAAAATGGTTAAAGAAAAACCCTTTTCACTAGGTTCAGCCAAACAAAATAAAACAAGAATTTGCTGAAGACCAGAAGGAAAACATGAAACATTAAAATTCTGGTGGAATAAGGATGTATCAGGTTTCTTCACTGTCAGCAATCCAGCTGTAGCTAGTTTTCTTTAATCTCAAGAATTTGGAGAGCAGGTGCTCACAATACCGAGTGTGGTGAAGGAAGGTCAGGTAGTTCCCTTCTAACACAGGCAGACAGCAGTAACTGAAGACAGTTACTGATGTAAACCGAAGTCATTAGTTAAGCATTCAACTTGCATGTTAGAACTGACTGGTTTAAGAGTTTGGTCTGAGAAGATGTATTTCTGGTTTACAGAAGTATCCTCTGAAATCCTCCAGTAATTAGGAAAAAAAAAAATCATTATTTTGAAAGACTTCAGCTTCTCCTACTCTCATGTCTTGCTTTTCAGCACAACCACTCCTCCTTCCTGAAAAATATACCCCCCTAGTAACAGCTATTTCTCCTAAGACTGCGTATTTGACAAATGGATAATAAATTTAATTAGTAACATACAGTCAGAAAACAAGCGGGTCATGTTGCCCCAAAATTCCACATCTAAAATGTGAGGATGCCCCATAGTAAATAATTTTCTATGTGCTTTAAATATGTTTGTATCTATACGGCTGACAAATTAAATGGTTAAAAAACTGGACCAGCTGGCTCAGTCTTGCTACTTACATCTTTCCACTGGCAATACATCAAGTATCAATGTAAACAAGAAAAAGCAAACATTTTAAATTGAAAAACGCAAGTTCCAATTCTTTTTGCATACCATCTTTTTGTACTCAAGACAAACGCTTCCCACACACTTTTTGAAGTTTTCTATTGGAGTAATGTGAGAAATGTTAGTTCACGGAGATGATGAAACTATTCAAGTGTTAAGTTCAAACAAAATAGTTTAGATTCTCATCACCTACTTGCGGGATCACTGCCTTCACCTCTGAGGCCCCCCAATGGCTGCCTACAAATCAATGCCCTGATCCAAGTTATAGTCCACATGCTTCATACATAATATGACAATGGCATATTTTGGTGTACAATAGATTATTATGCCAACTTCTAGAGAAATACACCTCCTCTGCTGCACCTGTAACAGAATCGCCTCATTACAATGTTCCAGCATTGCCTGTGACACTCACCGAACACACGAAAGCCCTCTCCATTTTGAGTGCCTACTGACTGCCTTATTTTTTTCCTATTTATTCCTTTTTCAACAGGGAAACACCTGCCGTGTCACCATTTACACTAGGTGTGTTTTAAAGATGAGAACAGTTAGATAAGCAGACGACACTCACAGCCCTTTCTCCCCTGCAGTCACTAGGAACACGCTTACAATCTTTCTCAAATCTCTACTCTTTTGGCTTGTCTCAGCACAAAACCCCAGGATCCCTCGTAGCACGCCTTGAAGGCCAAATGAACCTGTTTCTGGCTGCTAAGCTTGACCCCCTGCGCACATACAGGTTCTCCATCTGCTGCTTCTCTCCATGCCATCACCTTGAAGTTATTCCTTGGACATAACCACAGCAGCGTTTCCCTGTGACTGTACAGTAAGGTACCCACAGTCCATGGTAGCTGGAAGGAGAAGACTTTTTCTCCGTATGCCTTCTGTCAGGAAACCCCCCCTTTCTCACCCATAATTACCTTTTTGGCAGCACACTGAAATCCTGTCTGTTTGTCCTCTATTTTGTATACTTCTCCAAAAGAGCCAATGCCCAAAGAGCCATGACACTTGGTCCAGTGAACCTCTTCTCGGTACTCATAATCCACTGGCTTTAGTTTCTGGAAATTAAAATCAGAAAACAAGATGAAGCAAGGAAAAAAACACTTAACTGTTGAGCTCCACAAGAACCAATATTTTCAGAAAAAGCACAATGATAGATACTGCTGTACGTCTCTCAAAGTCCCTGTATAAAATGACTTCTGCCACGGGCTTGAGATGAAACGATATGCGAGGACCTACTTGACTTCCGTGGGCTCTGTTTGGTCTAAACGAGTGCACCCCACTGAAAGGCCACCAGTATTTGGATAACTTTGGAGTTCCAAACTATTCCCTTCACATGCAGGACATAACTACAAAGCTAAATCCTACAAATAAAACAAGATTCACGTGACTAAATGTAGACATCTATGGGTGAGCTAAACCTTTTTTGTAGTCTGAGATTTTGTAGACTGAGATTGTGCCTTAGGTCTCAGTGTAAACATATTCAGACAGGTAAGTGACACCCTGAACTCCACTGACAATGCTGACGGGGTCACACTGATTCCAGTGAAAAGTCCTCTAAGAGGAGTTTAAGGCGGCAAGAGAGAACTGAATTCAGAAGAAATGAATCATGCCTCTAAGATTTACATGCATTTGCTATGCCCAAGCCTTGTGTTTGGCAAGGAACAACGGGCAAGTTGCTGGCTTCCTACCAGCAGCAGCAGACGTGCCTTTTGCACTTTCACAATCTACATGCCCCTGGTTTCTGTCTGTGTCACAGTCCAGGTCATTTATAGCCAATAAAATATTGCAGTCTGTTCACCTGAACGGACTGGGTTCTTTCACAGACAAACAGAGAAGACATTGTCTGAAGGCTGACTAAGCACAGAAACACTTCTCATAGACAAGCATGCATATTTTGTGAATGAGCGAACAAATTAGAGCCACCAATCTAAGACAGGGATTCAGATCCTTCAAAAAGCTAAACCGCATCTTTAACCGGCAGTCTTCAACCATATCAAGACCCATTCAGAAAATGCAGTCTTGTTACAGAATGGATGCATGGATCCTAGCACAGGGATGCAGATTATCTCTTTTCTGAAGCCCAGAAGAAACTCTGTCTTCCACGACACTAGTGTGTAGGGTCAGAAGTTCACCTCATTAAGTAGCACGCCTTCATTTTCATCCGCTTCATGAAATTGTTCCTTCGGGTCCAGACCACCTCCTCGCCACGTCTTGGCTAGGCTGGCTAAATTTTGTGGTTCACCGAGACTCACGCTGCCCTTCAGGGCATCTACCAAGTATTCTTCCACAGAAATCTTATCCAAACTGTTTTTCATGGATTGGTTGACACATTTGGGGAAACTATATTCTAAGTTTAGGCCAGATAAGTGATGCTCACTGTCCTGATAGTTCAGATCACCATGGAAGTACGTCCCCAGAGCATTATGTTTCATGGCATAGAGAGGACTGTCAGGATGGAGCGTTTCAGGCTGTGGAACACTGTCCCTCTGATAGTGCCGTTTCCAAACATGATTAAGGCACTGAATAGGGCTTATCAACTTATGCAGTTCTGTTTTGTATTGGCTCCTTGGTGAATGAAGTTTGCCCGTGGACAGAACTTTCTCAGGTTTCTCAAATGGCAGTGGATCATAGACCAAGTCCTTGTTAAGTTCTGTAACCCAATAATCGTTTCTGTAAAGAGCATTTTGGTGTGATTCATCCTCCTAGAAAATAAAACAAAACCAAACAGCTGAGCAGGAACCTCAGTATAGCCACTCAAAATTCAACCAAGATTTGTTAGGAGTTTGCATGGGTCTCAACAGTACCAAAGGAAGTCTTAAGGATTTTCACCTGGACAGGAATTGGTGTGCAGCTCTCCTGTTCTGGAGTTCTCGGACCTCGCCTGCTAGCAGCCACTGTTTGTATTTTCAGCTTGGATCTTTTCTTGTGACGTTTCTTTTTTGTCTTACCGCGATGCCTCCCTCTCCAGCAGGTAGGTGCCATCTTCCCCTCCGTTGCATGGGCCACATTGTTAGGGATTTGATCGAGACTGTCTGACCGGCTATTGGAAACCAAAATGCATGAAGTCTCTTAGATCTGACGGTGAAAGCACACCTCCAGTTAACAATTATGACCAACAGAACAAGAATGAGAATTAGCAATTCTGTCTTCTGAAACTTAAAGAATAGAGAATGATAACATAACTTCTTGCCTTCTAATACGTAGCATTTATAACTTCAATATCAAGGCACAGTAGTATAACCGGCGGGAAGCAAAGCATTAAGAGTCCCAGAGTTTGCAAATTCTGCAAGGAACAGTGAGACTAGACGGCAAAGTAGAGGGAAAAGCACTGAATGGCTCCAGATTGCCTTGAGGCAGTTTGCGTCTATGATTTATAGTGAATACAGAAATTATGTATAAATGCAATCTATTTTAAAAAATTAATAAATACTTTGAGTAAAAAATTAATAGAAGCGCTCATAATATAAACGTCTGCTCTATTGGAAAGAAAAATAGGCTTTGCACCAAAGCAAAGGGATGACTGAGTGCACTCAAATAAAATAGCTTCAAAAAGCCAAAATATTCTGGCATGTAGAACTCAATCAATACGACTTCTAGGAACGCATATATATACAAAACAGCACTGGCCAGCACACCAGCTGGGGGTCTGTACAAGTAGATACAACTCTCAAGGGGAACATTTGCCTGCAGTTATTCAATACCAATCACAGTAGATCTTTTTTAATCAAGTTGTGACAGAAAACAGGATATTTGATCTTCAAATGAAGAAATCACAACTGTTGTGTTGATCCATGCAATATATCATCTGCTTTTACTGAACAGCAATGCAGTCCACAGCCAGCATTGCTCTCTCCATCTTATCCTGCTGTTTCAGTACACCACTGAGTGCTAAAAGATCCAGTAAGTAGAGTTCTAGGTGATGGCTTTACCGCTTTTCCTTGAACCTGAACATACAGGTGGTGTGCATTCCACATAAAAACCCTAAGAAATGGTTCACTCTGTATTTCTTTGGTTGGTTCATGGGACAATGTCACAAAGTCAGTGGGCAATATCAAACCATGTACCTCACAAGGCCAGATTCTGTGTCTGAAAGTTGCCAGAAAACAGACAGCACCTAATTCTATATCCCAGTCACCTACTACAGAGAGCGCTGGAGCTGCTTAATAAAGCTCCAGTGCTTAACAAAGCTCCAGTAAGTGCCCCAACAGGGCACATATTCTGCATGAAGTGGCTCACTCCCACATGACTTCAGAAAAGCAAGTCCCAGGCCTCCAGTTTTCCATCACAACTGTTACTCCCCCTTTACCACTTTCTGCTTCTTTTCACAATCCTACCTCTATTGCTGATGCTGTCATTAGGTAAAGGTTCTTCTCTCATCTCCTTTTGTTTATCCCCCCCAGAAACGAAGTAGTTCCTTTTTTTTAGGACTACTTCTAGCAGCAACCTAAGTTTCCCACAACTTTTCAAAGGGGATGGCGTAACGTGGTTTCAAAAGCATCAGGACGGTTCAGTTAAAAAAAACCTGAGAATTTTCCCTTGGATCCTTCTGCTTCAAGCCCATGAACCTCAAAATGTGACTCAGTCATTTCAAAACAAATTTGACAACCCAGAAATAGAGGTAGAAAACAACCAGCAGGCACTGACAATAAAACACCTTGCATCGTATTGAGTGGTTTGTGCTTAAGCCTCTATTTTCTTCTAATGCAAAAAGGTTTTGAGGAAGATGCTTGGGGAAAGACACACTCTTCCCAAACCTCTGACAGAAAAGCTAATTCAAACAGCAGTGCTTTTGGAAAAAAAAATATTGTAAGCACACAGAACCAGGGTTGATTTGGAACAAGCCAGCACACACAACAGTGAAGGTGGGTATTCATGTTAAGGGGTCTCTCACCTGTAACGCTTACTATGAGCAATAAAGGATCTCTCTGATAAAGTAGGGCTGAACTCCTGACTGTTTTCACCTGTATGAAAGAAAACAGGATCATCACATGTCTTCAATATCAGGCAGTCTCTCCCGGTAGCAACTGGGCTAAGAAACAACTCCACCAACTTGCTAAACCAAGCAGTGATCCAGACAAATCACCAAACAGTCGTGCCACATCACCCACACTACGTTCTTCCTCCCCCAGCATTAGATAGCTTCCCAGTGCTGATCCCCACCTAACAGCTGTATTTTGTTTTTATTCTCTTTCCCCCCCCTCTTTTAAAACACCTTTCAGAAGTCAGCCAAGAACAGGTGACCCAGCAGGACACAGATTTATAGTCAAGGCAGCTAGGTGCAATGGCCACATGCTGTTCTGTTATTTATGCTTTATTCAGTGGATGCTACCACATTATTCGGAGATTTCATGAGCTTCCTAAATAGAAACGGGGATGTGTCACCAACTCCACCCCACTTGGGATTACAAATAGATTTCAGCTCAGCTTTCCAGGAGTGCAAAGTGAGTGAAATCTCACACCGCATTACACATTCCTTTTTCTCAATGAAGAGCAGACTGCCCTGCTACTTACATTCTGCTTGGGCAATAATAGAAATTGATGCACAGCCTCCTTCTGTTTCTTCTTTTGCTGTTCCTTTGGTGATTACATCATTCAGGATTTTCCACTGACTGTGAAAGATGACCTTCTTTGAATCTTCTACTTTGCAAACACTGCTCTGCTTTTCACTAACTGTCTCGTTCAGCCCCTTGGTAGCTGTGAGCTCCTTCTTGTGCTTGACGGCTGGATCAGGAGCACCTTGGCATGTAATTCCCATCACTGCCATTTCACAGGTTCAGAGAGTCACTGAGTAAGAAAAACCAAAAGGAAAACAGTTGTCAAAATACTTAGCTTCACAGGCAGAAGCAGCTTCAATTTCAGGAGAAACAGGAGGCTGCTGAAGGTAACGGGTTACTAAATAATTTAAACCAAATCAAGGTCCTACCCAACCTCTGAGGATGGAGCTGAAAAAGAACCCAAGACTGCCAGCTCTCCATCCCTGACTTGTACCATTGAAGATCTGAATAAACAACGTTATTCTCAGTGCTAAAAATATGAGACCACACAGGTTTCAAAGGGGAATTTATTTCTTGGTATATTCCCTTAGCTTAAACACAAACAGTGAAACCATATATGAGAGGGAACTCTTGTATCACTAAACAGGAAGAATATTCACCAAAAAAAAAAAAAAAAAAAAAAAAAAAAAAAAAAAGAGAAAAAAGAGAAGACATGAAAGATTTTCTCCTGAGTGCACCTGGGAGAAATTACATTGCGCTCTCACACCACATAAAATGGCCATAAAATCCTGCTCACTGCTTTCTTCCTTGTACTCAGTCACCCTCAAATTAATTTCTCATTTTTCCTTCCAATGAAACAAGGCTAGACAACCAGCCTGCCCATACAGAACTCCTCCCTCGCTCCCCTTCCTCCCCCTTAATCACTGATAACTTTTGAAATACTTGGTCAAGCCCGACAAAAGTAGAGCCCTTATGGTGTGTCGGATTAATGCAAGTTGGTGTTGGATAGAGGACAGCAACGGTGCTGGAAAAGACGATCCCCTCCGCTTGGCAGCAGCTGGCGAGTCAATCAGCACAGGCTGCTAGCTGACCAGTTAGCGTAAATGTAGCTCCAAACAAGTCCCAGCACATGCCAAGTCTTGGCCAATTGGCAGCGCTGAGGAAGGTGGAAGGGAGCCAGGGGTGGAAAGGGAGAAGCATAAAGAAGCATGGAAGCAAGGCATTGCTGGGACGGGACAGGGGTATATTGTTGGGTGGAAGTCAGAAATGTGGAGAGTTAGGGGTTCCCTACAACCACACAGGCAATAACGGCTTTGGTTTTAGCCCCTGATCCCCTCACCTTGGATTCCAGAAAAGTTAAAGCAGTCATTTTCTTTTAAACCAGAATATGCTCTATTGCTCCTTAGCTGTAGAGGTCACTTCCTCCTGCCAGTCCTCTCACAGCTCAAGTGAAACATCTTAAAATGAACACTTCCATCATTAAACAACCCAGGAACATTCAGAAACCTTAGCAAACACGGACAGTTGTTAAGTACCATGACCCTGATATAAGACAAGGAGGAGGGACATTTGAACGGAGGCCAGCGAAAACAACATCTCAGCACTGTTACAGGAGCACATCTTTGAGGCTCATCAGTTTAAATCCGCACCACGGATTTTCTTTTCCTTTTTTTTCTTTCCTTTCCACCCTCTCTAAACTGTGGCAACAGGGCATTTGCTCTGTGAGGCTCCTGGCAACACAGAGATCAATCACGAAAATGACAAAAGCGGTGGGTGCTCCGTGCCTATGGGGCCACCGAAGCAAAGGGAAGGGAGCCGTTTGGGAGCCAAGTGCATGAACCTCGGCGTGATGTGTAAATGAGTCACCTAACAACCTGGCAGGTGTACAAGGAAAGTCAACAATGACCACATTCAGCAGCTTAAACAGAGAACAGCTGCTGTGCAAAAGAAGCCCTGATGACAGTATCCCACTCATTACGCCCGGCCCGCTCCCTCTCCTCTACAGAAATTATGTCAAATCTCAGTGCTGTAAAATAATCCCTTGGAGCAGCAGAAAAAGAGCCTGCCAGATGACTAACCCAAGCCACCAGTGACCAAACTGACAAGTTCAGAGCTATTTTTATACTCACTCTCTCCTGGTTTGCATTAACTCTCTCTCTCCTTGCCCTCCCCTCACCTTCAACGTCCTTCAAGGTCTGCGGTGCAAACCCATCCCCGTCGCCAAAAAGTACTTAATCCTACAAGTCACTCCTTAGCTTAGTTAAAAGGCAACAGAGGGAGAGGAGAAGCAAAATTGCAAGTCCTCATCGCCCTCTGAAATGGCAAAGAATAACAAGGAAATGTTACTGAGATTGAAGTCAATAAAGCACATGCCTCACTTGCCAACTAAAAAAAACAAAATAAGGGGTAGGTATTGTAAGCAACGTCCTCTAACACAGCAGCCGCCAGTGCTCAGACAGTTTAATGTGTGACTCAGGTCTACAAGGCCGTGTAGGCACAGAAGCTGCAAGCCCAGCCCAGTTTAACTGTTGCTGCACAATTTTCAGGTGCTTATAAGAATCAAAAACCCGACTGCTTTTATGGTACGTACAATAAAGCGTAGTTGGTAGAAGCTGTGATTAGAAAAATATTAATGAAATGAGAACTTTTACATAACTTTTGAAGCGTAACTTCTCTTGAGGCTACATATTCAGAACTGAATGGGCTACTCATCCCTGTGCACCTGGAGGGGGTGGCAATCCAGAGAGGAGCAAAGCATTCGTAAGGCCCATTAATTGGACATAGGCTCTCAGTCTCTCAGGCCCAGGCCCCGTGCACAGCCTGGGGGAAGCTCTAGATAAAAGGGAGCCTTGGGAGCAGTAAATGGGTACCTGATGTTTCACAGCAAGACCACTAAGAACAAGATTTACCCACATGAGACACGCTGGAGCTGCGGTTTTGGCTGCCTATTTACTTGCCACCACTCCAGGATGAGCACAGCTTCCTGTACAGACATAAGTTACGTACGTGCAACATGAGGAGCTTCAAGTTATTGAGCTGGAGGGTGGTTGTTTCATACCCCAAACTGCTTCTCTGGTTTTCAAAACCTCCTCTCCCTCCTCCAAGTCACTTAGATTCAACTGTAATTTTCGATTTCAATATCCCCGAGTTTCTTCCTTCTCTAAACGTGTGTATGGGCTCATTATTTTAAAGGAAGAAAGGGGAAGTCAGGTAAGGATGCAGTAGATAAAAGTGAATACTACACCCCCAACCCACAATGGGCTTTTGCTAGCAGCATTAAAGACTGCTTGCTCGTTGTCTTCACTAAGGTTTTACACTTTGGTTAGCTACTGTTAGTTCTCACTGCTGTAAAAAAGAAAGTGCGTTTTTACAGAATGAAAGCCAAACACAGTATCAGTTGTGCTGTGGAGGCACTGGTCCGATGGCAGCGGCAACTCCTCCCTCAAATAATGTTTGTGCTCCTGTGAGAAACTCATACACCGGATAAGGTCATCTGAGACTTGTAGGGAGTCAGAACTAAGGAGGCACTCGAACATTATTAATATAAGAGAGAACCATGTGTTTTCTGCTCCTTTAAAACCTCCTCCCTCGACCCTGCTTCTAAACAAGTCCCTGTTCACCCTCTTCAGCTCTTCCAGCTCTTAACTGGAAGCTATTTGTAGCGGGGACCTTAAAAGAACATTTCTGTGTTTCATGAAGTTACTATGTCTACAGAAAGAGAGACTCATAGCTGGAAAAAAGTAACGCAAGCACCTCTCAAGCACTAAAACACTCTGCAGCACACCTTAATATGGGGTCCTGCTTGGCCTGCCTGGGTCAAATCTCCCTTGCAATGGCTTTCTGGGGAATTTCAGGTAACATTTTGTGGAGTAGCCCATAGATTTGGTTAAAAAAAGACTTGAAAAAGAGTTTTAAAATACACGTAAGACTTCAGAAGTCAGCTTCAAAGCATGCAGATTTCTTCTCCTAGTCTGAGTGCGAACGTTCAGCAGCAGTTTCACATTGACATTTAGTTTGAAGGGAAAAAAAAAAAGAAAAAAATCATGTTGTCTCAGTGAGGTTTCCCACTTCCTTATTGAGAAGAGTTTTATGAACAATGCATTAACTCAGGTTAGCCGTCTCTTTTGCAGCTGCTACTGGTTTATTAAAACAACACAAGTAGCATTTTAGCAATGTTGCCTTGCTGAGCACTACAACAAAGCAACAGCTGGGAAGAGCCAGGAATTTATGCATCACTAGAGCAGGGAATGTCAACTGAGGAGAAGAACACACACCTTTTGGGGACCTTCCAGTCCTACCAACTGTGAGGAGGTATTCAAGAAAGTGCCAACCCTGCAGTCAAAAGGACCTATCCAGAGTATTAGCTACAAAATCATCACATAAAGATATATATATATATTTATACACACACACACACATATATATCTATATAAACACACGTACAAACCTTTGAAACCCCAGGCACCACTTCCCTTTATCCCTGCCTCCTTGCCATTGTCTTTCTCTGCTTGGATGCTATCGATGAGCTTCCTTGCCTGCCCATGTTTCAGATGGAACTGAAATTAAGATGGTTCCGTTTTCGGCCGTGTCAGTTTAGGGCATATTATGGTAGCATGGGCCTGGGATGGTTATTTAAACAAGCTCAGTGCTGTCAGCAAGGAGAAGTTTCAATTTGTGTCAGAAGGGACTTAAAAAAAAAAAAAAAAAAAAAAAAACACCTCCTTCGGGAGAGCCTTTTCTGCCATGTGAAAACAGGATCAGTGCAATATTCACCAGCCATCTGGATCCCCTTGGGCATATTATGGTAGCATGGGCCTGGGATGGTTATTTAAACAAGCTCAGTGCTGTCAGCAAGGAGAAGTTTCAATTTGTGTCAGAAGGGACTAAAAAAAAAAAAAAAAAAAAAAAAAGTTGTCACACTCAACACACCCCCTACATTAAAACACACTTAATGCCATTTTAAGTTACCATGTTTTAAGAGAAAAAAAAAGACGTATCTAAGAGTTCCAAAGTAAAAATAAATAGAATGCCTGACTGATTAAAATACTGGTGAGTCAGATCACCAGTTGCTATTCCAGGATGCTCACAGCCTTCACCTCCTCTCCTTTAACCAGTGTTATCCATCTGTCTGTAGAAGGGGCTCCTGTACAATCTTGCCTGGTTCCTCTCAGTCTCTTGTATTGTCAAGTACTGCCGCAGGCAGGTTTACCTGAAGATCACCAGGTAAAGCTAAACCTTCTACCTAAACCACCATGGAACTGCCTGTTTGAAGGATATCAGCCTTGTGCTCATGAGTAAGTTATGTTACAAATGATAATAAACACATAAACATATTCTTTAAAGTGGTTTGATAGTAAATACTTCAAAATCCTGTTTCAGCCATTGGTATTGCTTACTGTAAACACCAGGATAATGAGCTTCAACTGTCTTTTTAGTTGCCAGACCTTAGTATATTGCAATAATTTGCTTACAAAGTCTGTAGGAAAATATGTAACTGGGTTTAACCATCAGCAGAATTTCTAAATGTATCTAAACACACCTATCTTCATTTCCTCAAGTACAAGCTTGAGTACAACTCGCCCCTTAACAATTCTTTTCATGTTGTTGAACAAAGATATGAATAATTCCATTTGCCCAGAGTTTATAAACATCACCGCAACCCCATTCATTCAAAGAAGTGGCTAATTTTTCCAAACTGCTTTGCAAACAAGTATAACAGAAAGCATCAGAACACACTTCAACCTGACAACATTTTGCCTTCCAGCCCGGCTTAGCCCCTTTCATGCAGGCTTTCAGGACACCGCTTAACGACATCCTGATTTTTAAGACCCACTTGTGGAGTGAAGCAATTTCCTAAATTATAACAAGATGGTATAATAAAGCACCTAAATGGACAACTTCCAGCAATAACCACAAACACACATTAAACTCAATTCTGCCCAAGCAGACAGGACTGAGCTTTCACCACTTATTACATTACTTTGCAGCTTGAAATTTCCAATCACTTTCATAAAATGCCATGTAAGGCTACAAGAAAGCAGTAAGGCTGAAAAGCCAGGCAAAACCAAGAGTTTAGTTAAATTTAGCAGAGATAGAAGCATTTCTAGGTAATCTTAATTTATGACTGGTCCTGCAAATTCAGTTACAATGACTTTATACTACAAAGTAGAAATATGAACTGATCAGAGTAGTTTCTAACTGCCCTTCCTGAGCAAACTCCCATGAGACAAACTCTCTTATTCACTGCAGAAGAGAACTGCCTTTTAGACAAGGTCCATTTTCTTCAGGGCCCAGGGCCCTGGCATCACTAAACTGTGACCAGCCAAGCCCAGTTTCCTACAGATTGAAGTCCCACATGTCTAGCCCTCACAGGCCTCCTTCTGGTCCCCCCATGCATCCTTTTGACATCCCTTCTCCAGCATCTCCAGACCCTTTCCTAACTCAGGTTTCTTTTACTCTGAGCCAGCTGCTCTTCTTGGAAATCAGAAATTTTTCTGTCTTCCAGACCTCTATCCCTCTGCCTCCACTGACTGACGCTTGGCAGTAAGCTTCCTAAGTCACAGAAGGAAAGTTAAAGAGACAGCATGGTCATGTTTGCCTCCACCCCCTTAGCAGCCAGAGTAGTAATTAGGCACCACATTGCTGTTACAACAAAAGCTCAGCTCTACCTTCTCACATTTAACACTGAAATAAGATTCAGGACAGACAGTGGCAAAGTTCATTAACTCCAGCGATGTTGGATCAGGTCCCACAAAATCCTTCTGGCTTTTTGGTTGCTACATGTCTGTTTGTTATACTCCTTCTTCACAGCAGGCTATACAAAGATTCACTCTCTTCCAGCAGTTAAAATTTAATAGTTAATAGCAAATGACTCATTCCAAAGGAATCTAGCGGCTGCGCCAATAACAGATTTTAACTTACTTAAAATGCAATAAAGCAGCACACTACAGACACATATTTCACAGCCCGATTTGATTATTCTTATCACTAATGTCACAGCAAAGAAGGTGCGAGTTATTACTCATAAAAGGGTTCAGAAAGCCAGTTGAAAAAGAAATTTAGATGTTGTTTATGGATGCTAGTTTCAGACTGCTGCTTCTTAAATGTGCAAAGCACTGAACACATGTTTCTAATGTAACCGATTAAAGTAGACAGGAAGCATCTGAGATCAACCACAGCAGCAACTTATTAATCAGCAAAGAAGCATTTTAACCTTTTGCCAGAAAAAAAAAAAAAGGACGCGTCAAAGAGAAGTGCTAGGGCTAAATGTGAGAGGCGAGCAGACAGGCAGTTTAACTGAAGTTCAGATCTTATTCAGTCGTATATTTTGATTAGCTGATCTCAGGCCTGCCTCCTCCTCCCCTCTCCAGGGACAGGGATGGCTTTGGAAAGCAGCACCTAGCAACACCGAATTAACACGGCAAAGGCTGCGGCTTCACCTCTTCTCTCCGGCGGGTGCTCCGGGACAGGCGCGGCTGGCGGGGAACCGGGGAGCTCAGGAGGCGAGGAGAGGAGCTTCCGAGCAGCAAAGGGACATCTAGGCTAAAAAAACCCCAGAACAACACAGAGAGAGGCTCAGTGCTCGGCGGAGGTGTGGGCAGCGCGTGCAGGGGAAGGAGAGCGGCTGCAG